TGTTGTGTGTGTGTGTGTATGTGTGTGTGTGTGTGTGTGTGTGTGTGTGTGTGTGTGTGTGTGTGTGTGTATTGTAGCATGAGAGGTTCCACACATATAGAGTTATTTAATATTAATAAAATATTCTTCACAGTTATGGCAGTTCAACATTGTCAGCAGCACTTGGACCCGTATAGAAGGGGCAGGAAGTATGCCAGAAGAACTGGCCTCCCACTCAGCTGTGCGTCTGGGCCCAAACATGCTAGTGTTTGGGGGAACAGCCATGCCATTTGGTGACTCGTCGTCAGATTCGGTATGCACAGATAAGGTCTTATTTATAAGGAAATAAATACATGTTGACAGTCAAGTATGTGGGCAACTTCGTACATTTACCGTTTAGAGCTTTTATATATTAACCTCATACCCAAGGTTATAAGGTTAAATTCCTTATTACATTCTTGGAGTAGGTAAGAATGCATTAATCTTTGGGGCTTGCAAATGGGGACATTTGCCCCCCCCACACACACACACACACACACACAAATGAATTAAAGAGCAAATTGTAAACCCAATTGGCCTGGATGGCAAGAATACATTGCATGTCCACTATTATATTTGTTTGTTTCTTATCTGTACTCATAGATGGCTCTGCATTTTCGGAAAACTTTTTATTATTTTTATTACTATTTTTGTAGTGACATTATAATAATTATGATATCAATAATAATGATAATAACAGTGTAACTATTAATAGTATTGGAAAGAAAAACATTTTGCCATAAATTCTAGGGCCTACTAATTGACTCCTAGGTAGCTAAGCTTATGTGGAGCCTTCTTTATGCAACAAAATACACAAAGAACTACAATGGACAGTACATAAACCCGAGGCTATTAGGTTAAAGGTTAAAGAGATGTATTATATATATGTAGATATAGGCATATCAGTAGCATCCAAAATAATTGCAACTTATATTTTCTGTCACTTTTTCTCCAGTTGATTGATCTCTACTATTTCAGCTATACATGTGTCACCTGCCAACAGGAAAATGGCAGAAAGTGATAACATATGGCAACAAACCTGAGCCAATGTATGGACAAGTAAGTTTTCTAACAGGTA